ATAAAATGGCCAGCTGATATATTTGTTAATCACATAATGTGATTGAATAACCTTCATAAAACACACACAACTTTTTAAATTAAACTGGGGATTATATTATCTGATGATAAGTTATGCAGCTTTCCATTTCCAAACTGAGTTAAAAATTGGGACATAGAAAAAAATTTACATTTCAAACGACTCATTGGGAGTGAATGTGACCAGTGTGCATGCATGTATGGAAACATAACAAATGCTAACAACAACAGCAACAAAGTACTGATTTTATTCACTGTTTTAGGTTTTTATTATTATTATTATTATTATTATTATTATTATTATATTGCACACCCAGAGTTGAACCAGCCTGGCGCTAGACTGTTTTAGGCACTTCCGCCTATCTTCCCTTTCGAGTTAAAAGTTTTACTGATCTCATAATAAGTTTGACCAAAAATCTGCCAGAAAATTGACATTTATCAAGGCTCCTGTATGATCATATCTTCAGTGAGAATAAGACTCCCAATGAAACAGGAGGAAGAGACAGAGAGGAAGAGGAGACAGATATACTCCCATCCTTCTAAACACTCACCATTCACACAGTAACACATGTACATGGGTGGACTCAAACTCACATGCATGTGCAAAGCTCTTGCTCCCCCGTAAGAGTATAAACATAGCAAACACAGGGAAATGGGACGTTTAAAACCTGAGCAGCTGGGTGGAAGTGGAAAGACCAGATTTACTCTGGGGTTAATCAAGAGCATCTAGAGACACAGCAAAATGAGGACTAGCAGCATGTGCGTAGACAAAGTAGTACCAAGTTGGATTAAATAACTTTGTTTTGTTTCTTTGTTTTCGTTTTTTGAGACAGGGTTTTTCTGTGTAGCCTTGGCTGTCCTGGAACTCACTTTGTAGACCAGGCTGGCCTGGAATTTACAGAGATCCACCTGCCTCTGCCCGCTGAGTGCTAGGATCAAAGGCTTCTGATACCACACCCAGCTTTGATTAAATAATTTTTATTTCCCAAGATTTTTTTTTGTTTGGGGCGGGGGCAGTGCCTCAGCTATCCCAGACTGGCCTTGAACTCCCTAAGTAACTAAGAATGACGTTGAACTTGTGACTCTTCTACCGACTGGGCTCACAGCCAAGTGTAACTATGCTGGTTATAAGGTGCTGGGGATAGGACCCAGGGCTTTGTGTGTGCTTAGACAAGCACCCCACCAGATGGGCTATAGATAGCTCTAGCACTCACCAGAATTAAGTAGTGCTTCCTAGCACTTTATTACAGCTATCATTTAAATGAAAACTTTAGAAGGTTATCTTGGGAAGAGGTCCTGAGACTCCAGGGTGACTCAAAAAGCAAGAAAGACTCCACTCATAATGAGCACATCGGAGATGTGAGCTGGACTATGTGTTTAGCCTACAGCATCTCAAGGCAAGGTGATGGCAGAGAAGTAGCCAGAGTCTGATATCATGCATGTGTGTGTTGGGGGAGAGGGAGGGATGACAAGCCACGCCTCTTTACCCTCTAAATTACCATTCTTCTATTAGTGGCTACTAGAGTGTTGTCCACTGGAGATGACCCTGCTTTCAAACACGAAATCATGTGACTCATGAAGAAACATGACACCGTGGGTGTAAGTGGAGCATGCTGCCTCTGTTTCCAATTAGTGACACGAACGAGGAAAGCTGAGCCAACCACATTCCCAGCTGACGTGCATGTGTGAGCAGGGTTTTGCTGTGTGTGTGTGTGTGTGTGTGTGTGTGTCACACACTGGGTGCTTTGTAAGTGGGTTTCACACTAAGGAGGTTAGTATGCTCCTTTACAATGAAATCCATCCCGCGTGCACCCGCGTGCACACGGAACTTCAGCCACACCTCAGGGAGTAGAAGGAATAATGGGCGAGGATGCATCCTTTGCATCAACTGAGAAGACCCAGAGCTGCCAGCTGCTCAGTGGCTCCCAGAGTCAGTCCTTCAGGAGCAAAAACCACACCTCCGTGTGGGGTTGGAGTCCATCCATATAAAGAAGTCATTCTTCGGTGGCTACATAAGCTGTGGGCAACGAGAGGTGCCTACCATCAATAAATAAATAATAAAGATCGGGAAAGCCAAAAGATAAATGGACATCCTTAGAGTTTTGCAAATCTATTAAAGAAGTGACAAGTTAAAATTTTTCAGCGAGAAACCACAGACATCCGTGCCTGGTTTTGTCATGGTTGTGTAAAATCTGGCACGGAAAGAAATATCTACGAAGCCGGAAAAATGTCATTGTGGGTGAAATCTACCCACTGCTGCAAAGTAGGTCTAGGGAGAGGGTTGTGAAACAGACTCTTGTCATTTAAGCAGAAGCAACTGTCAGACCAAAGCTTGATTAAATGAGGCGCCCTGCAGGCTCAACTCCAAGCCTTTTTGAGTTCTGGACGGTGATGTCCTAGTGGAAGGAGAGGGGACGGAATGGGGCACAGGTGGAAGCTGTGACATCATTCAAAGCCTCTTCACTCTTACAAAGAGGTTCTTCTTCCCTCGTTTCACACCGCCACCCGAGGCTTCTTAGAGCAACACTTGCTAAGGGGTGGGCAACACTTGCTAAGGTGTGTTGAAACCCAGCTTGGAGTCCCTGAGTACATCTGTACCATCACCATGCAAGCAAGCTCCCCATGCAGGCTCATCTGATCATTACGGTCACCTTTTAAGATCACCACCCAACAATACTCGGTGGTTTACTGAGTGATAATTTGAAGACCACAACTCACTCTCTCTCTCTCTCTCTCTCTCTCTCTCTCTCTCTCTCTCTCTCTCTCACACACACACACATATATACACACACACACACAAGTATACTATAAACCCATTTCCTAAGTAGTCGGTTATTTCTCCAGGAAGGAAAAAGGAAAAAAAAAATGCTCATTTCCCGAGGATACCCAGGAAAAGCTTTCTTCAAACCAGGTGGCTGGGCACTTTGCACGTTATGCAGAACAAGTCATGTTAAGGAGGACTTTATGGGAGGCAGTGCTTGGGGAAGGGCAGATCAGTGACTACCTGTTGGGATAAGAGGAATCCCCATCCTCCACTCCTGCGGGTGGGTGACACGGAATATGGACAGTCACTAGTCGGCCTTCTGCACAGCCTGGCAAGATGTGCGGGCCCTTCACTTGGGCCCTTCACTCTGTTGTTCTCCTCGCTGAAATCACAATCTGTCCCGGTAACTCCTGGAGACGAGTGGCGCGCAAGCCAAGATCAAATTTTTCTAAAAGTTTTCATTTTTCTACATAATTTCAACCTTCCTTTAAAAAAAACAAAACAAAACAAACAACTACTGACTTCAAAGATCTCCTTGGTCTGCCTTGATTGTTTATTGGGACAGAGAACCATGTGTGGTATTATTATTATTATTATTATTTTAATCTTCCGCCTCTATCTTCCCAATAGCATCTGGTCCATCTTTCAGTTCTTGTCTGGTGATAATGAAATCATTAAAAACCCACACCAGAACGCTTTTTGCTTATCTCTGTACCATTTGGAGCATCTGCGAATAAACGGAACACCACTCACTCGTTGGTGTGCTCCCTTTCTCATTTTAAAAGCCGCGTTTGAAGTCAGTCACTGAATTCAAGAGTATCAGAGTGAAGGAGGAGGCTGGGAACTCGGCTTCAATGTCCCCAACTGGGTCCCTACCTAAACAACAAGTCACACTCTACCCAGCACATTGTTGTTGTTGTTTCAACAAACTGAAGGCTGGGACTCTTCTTTAGGCTCCAAGCTGAATTTCCTGCGAGCAGAGTCTCCCCAGTATATCTCTCACCGACCCTTCACGGAGAAGCATGGAGAGCAAGCTGCTAGCTGCGCCTGAAACCCTGAAACGTCTGAGAGCATTCGGCACAGATCAAAGGCACCTTTCCCTCCCTTTGGAAGCCACATTACCAGCCTTTTCCAGCCAAAACACAAGGCGGTGCTCAGCGAAAGAAGGAAGAGAAGCGGCCGGCAGCTCTTCCCAGGAACCACTCCCTGGAGAAACGGGGAAAGATTTTTCCAGAAGGGGGCTTGCTCCAAAGCATGAGAGTTCAGCCTTTAGCCCATTATTCAAAAAAGTTTTCTAAGGCTTTTCTAAGGCAACAATTTAAACCCCGCTGCACTTATCGATCAGCAGTTTGATTTTGCTTTGTTGGGAGGGATTTGTAATCTGCTTTTAAAATGCTGTTTTGTTCCTGGCTTTCCTTGATAGCATGTTCTGCCTGAGGCTGCTTCTTTAAAAAAAAAGAAGAGAAAAGAAAGGAAGGAAGGAAGGAAGGAAGGAAGAAAAAAAACTGTCACTGGAGGTTTTGAGTCGATGTGAACAACTAATTTTAACACAACCCCTTCCTAACTTCACTTCTATACACAGAAGGAAGCATTAAGGGTTTATACAATTTTTTCATCAAATTCTGCTAAACTTGAAATCTATGATAAGGAATCATTTGTCTGTAAGAGGAAAAAAAGGATGCTGCATGCCTCTGTGTGTGTGTGTGTGTGTGTGCATAAATGAGCAAATTTTACTTACAAAGTCAGAGGGTTGTTCAGACCTCAACTTGCTCAGTGCCTTCCATGAGTTTCAAAGTGTACTGCTTCTGAGGCCAATGGCTCTCCTGGAATCTGCTGCAGCTACACACTAAGAATCCCCAAACTGTGGGCCCCACAATGCTACTAACAGGTTTTAAGGACACTGTTTTTATTTATGGCCTTTGAGTGTCAGAGCTGTGCCTTTCCTGGCATTAGGAACAATTAACCTTTTGTCTTCCTAAAGTTCACCACCGCAAGAGCTGAAGAACGAAAACTGTGCTCGTAACTGAACTAACAATTCCTGCTGATGCTCCTTGAACCTAAGGCCCTTGGGAGATAACAGTTGATTTCCTTAATGAAACGCACCGGTGTTTCTTTTCCTAATGTAAGTAGAGAGCCTACACATGTATGATCTTTATGAGTTTATTTAGCAAGAAACCAAATATGTGAGGGGAAACCCCACTTTCTGAGCGGAGCTTTAATGGTCGGTCATGCGTGTTCCACAGATCGTTACAAGGTCTTGCGAGGAATGGCTTTCCACCCCAGAAGAGGGTAACATATCTTCATTGTTTATAAAAATGACAGCTCCTAATGGACCACATTAGCTTTAACACAAACTATTAAATCCCCTTCATTAGGGCTCTCTGTGTCCTGCCCCAGCCTCTCCCAAACCCTGGGAAGTAGGTGCAAAGTCCTAAAGAAAGCCGGGCACACACTGAGGCGATTAGAGATCACGCTTATTAGATAAGGCTCGGGAGGATGTTTTTCTTGGGCTGCTCACAAACATTTTGCAAGAGTCGTGTTCCAGGTTTGAGGTCCGATGTTTCTTCCTCCCAAACTATGAGCAGCTGTAGCACATGACCTACTTCTGTAGGGCCCTGTAATGATTTCCTTCCTTTTGGAGACATCAGGAGCCCTCCTCCTGCCCTGTGGAAAAAAAAAAGGGACAAATATTTTAATCCAAGCAAAATGCTGAAGCAGGTTTTGTTGGTTTCAGGGAAGAAACTCAATACAGCTCCAGCGTAGAGTGTAGGGCTCAAATTGGAACCATCTGGACCTCAGAAGGGCTTGGAGACCTTAGGGGGAAGGCAGAGGGAGCCCTGCCTAGGGCTGCAGCTCATACACCTGCAGAATCAGCCAGCCTCTTGGCAAGTGGCTGGACTCACCCAGGACCTTGGTAGGGAAGTCTGAAAGCCTCTGCAGCTGGGAACATCATGCTAGGGTCTTTTCAGCCCAGCCAGTGACCGATCTTCTCATGGAAAGGAAGGCTTTCTGAGACTTCCAGGACACAGTCGACACCATCAGACAGAAACACATATCCTAACTTCGTTTCTCCCTAGTAGTCAGCCAAGAAAATCCTCAGGAGAGCATACAATCAGCTTCTGCCGCAGGGCTGGGGCTGTGGGCTCCTGTCCTTGACTGTCCAGTGGTTCATGATATCTAGGGTTCTGTGCTGGCCACACTGGTCTCATTGTGCTCCTCACCATAGTAAATAATTTAAAATCCAGATTGAAAACAGTGTCTTCCGCATCAACTAGTATTTGGAAGACTTAAAGGAAGTGTCTTAAAGGGACAGGGATGGCCACATATATTGGTATGTGTACTTTTTTTGTTTAATTATCCCTAAAGCTAAAGGGAGGAAAATGCATTTTAAAAAGCAACACATGAATGATTGAAATTATTTTTTTTTGTGTGTGAAGATGGTTGTCATTCTTGTTGGCTAGTTATGTTCCCAGCTGAGTGAAGCTGCTTTTTCCTCTTTCCGTGGGTGCTGTGGTAAGCCAAGAGTCCCTCTCCTGGAAGGGCATCTCAAAGAACATATTCCTAAATGAGCACTCTCATTATCCAACAATGGATGGTGGGACACTTTCCTTAGGAAAATGTATAAAGATTCTGACCGACCAGAGCTATGCTACGGAAAAGCTACAGAAAAAAAAAAATACTGTTATGATGTGTGTTAGGACTGTGCATATTCTTTTCAGTTTTGCATTGGAAATCTCAAATGGATGATGGATAAGAGCAGAAGCCATTTTTACATAAGAGGGACCAGGACCTTTGCTCACTCAAGGACTGGCAACCTAATTCTTTAATTTGTAAAGCCAGGTCTGAATACATTTTTTTAAAAAGGAAATGAGACTGAGAACAGACTGAAATTGTCCACGTGGCCATCCCTGTCCCTTTAAGACACGAGTCTTCCAAATACTAGTTGATGTGGAAGACACTGTTTTCAATCTGGATTTTAAATTATTTACTATGGTGAGGAGCACAATGAGACCAGTGTGGCCAGCACAGAACCCTAGATATCATGAACCACTGGACAGTCAAGGACAGGAGCCCACAGCCCCAGTCCTGAGGCAGAAGCTGATCCATAGAATAAGCTGTCCTTAGAGGAAAGTGTAAGAGGTGATTGAAACACTCCAGTTAAAGGCTTAAAGGTGTACACTTCCCTGGTTTCCTGTAATTGACCCCCGAGGCCCCTTGGATGGTAGGCAAGTACTCCACCATGGATCCCCAGACTCAGCTCTTAGCTAATCTTTTAAAAGAAGCCATTAGACCTCATGTTTTTGTTCACGGTAAGTACATTTATTGGATTATTATAATAAGGTGTACTAACTGTTGGAAATTACACAGTCAAGATGTAGATAATACATATGAGGTACAAAATTACATATTTTTTAGAAGAAAGAATTTTCAGCAAGAATACTTTTTTTTTTTTTTAATTCCAGAAGGGAAAATAAACACTGAAAAGCAACGTTTGGCTAGCAAGGCTCACAGAACATCTCGAGTGTTCTAAAGCATTCTGAGGTGTGTATAGTGTAGTTTCTCAAGGCATGTGGTGAGCGGTGACATGGATATGCTGTTTCATCTGAGGGGGGGTGTTATATGCAGACTTCATCACCAGTCGGCCGAGATGCTCTCTCTCTCTCTCTCTCTCCCTCTCTCCCTCTCTCTCTCCTCTCTCTCTCTCTCTCTCTCTCGCCCATGTTCCAAATTTATAAGCATGAATCTAAAATCTAAACCAAATCTTTGTTCCCTTTCCTTGTGTGGCTGTTTCACACCCCGGCCCACGCACCCAGCTGCACACAGCTCTCCCTCCCTCCCTCCCTCCCTCCCTCCCTCCCTCCCTCCCTCTGTGCCCAACGTTCCCCACCACCATGCATCTCTAGGGTGAGACCCGGTGGACCTCAGCTTGTTCTGCAAAGCATCCCTGGGAACAAGAGGCCAGGTGAAAATCAAACGGCAAGCCAACCCCGGGTGACATCAGAGCGCTTGGCCCTGCCGCCAGAGGCTAGTATGTCATCCCCTGGAAAACAGGTTTGGGTTCCGTGGGAAACATCAGCCCGGCTTCATTCACACAGCTCTGTCAGTTCCCATCCGTACGGTGTCCAGGACAAGCTAGTCCACCAGCTCCAGTGGAATGTGAATTTCTGGTAAGTACAAATGCCTACACTCGGAATCAAGAAGTACTGTGGCATGTCTTCATTTTCAAAGACAAGATTTGCTCTAGTCCACTTAGCCACCCCCTGACCCCATAAAGAGTGACCACAACACTCACAAAGCAAAAGGTCAACCTTCCAACGGCTTTTAAAAAACACTGTTCTCAACAAGGGGAACTGATCAATAGAGAATATATACATATATTTATAATATAATATATAAGTATGTGTTACATGTATTATACACACAGAGAGAGATATGAGGGAAAGGCCCACCCTGTTCTCAGTAAAATAAACAGTTGGGAGTGGATAATTTCAGATTGATTTATGAACTGGGAAAGTATTTCTGATTTATTTAAGAAGGAAAAAAAAAGCTGTTTTGGCCAAAATGGTCAGGAGGCGATGGAGACTGGCTTCCCAGTCCTTTGCTGCCAACTCTTCACTGCCTCAAAACTTACAGAAATGCATGATTAAAAAAACGAGAATAAAAATCTCCAGTTGCCTTCAGCAAACCACAGCACAGGCTAGCGGAGTGGTGCCAGCTTGCAGTGTAAGTACAGTTACTTGGCGCCTGCTAAAAGTACTGCCCCCTTCCTGTTTAATAATTAATTCAACTTTAAAGCCCCCAAGGATCTGGACTCAGCACCCGATTCATAAAGCAGTACAGAAACAAAATGCTTCCAGAACTGGAGGGGGAATAGAGGAAGGAAGAATCTAACATTTCAAGAAACATCACCACATGGGGCCACCAATCTGGGGAGGGGGGCTAGAGGGTGGAGGTGGAAAGAACTGGGGTGGAGAAATATTTTTAAAAACACACAAAAGTGAGGTTATTCACGGCCACTGGCTCCAGGAGTGGGAGCGGTACAGTGAGCTGGAAGCCATCCATTCGGGGAAGCAGGCCTGGTGCCCTCAGGCTCTCGGGGACCCAAAGGGTAATGGGCTCAGTCTGGAGAAAAGGAGAGCCCCAGCCTTACTCCTCATTAGTGGCCTCTGCTCATTAGTCAGAGCATCATGCTGGAAAAGGCATCAAAGGTAGATAGCTGTCTTTCCCTGGCATCATCTTCCACCCTACACCTGGCCTGAGATTCCCAATTCTCCCACCAGGGCCATGGCCAGAGCAGCCTTGAGGGGAAGCAGGAATACACAAACACAGAGAGAGAGAGAGAGAGAGAGAGAGAGAGAGAGCAATTGCACTGTGCATTCTGGAGAGAACCAGGCAAGTTCCTGGAAGTAAATATCCAACAATAGAAGTTAGCATCCAACAGAGCAGCAGATAACTGCACCCAGAAGCCAGGCAGCCAGTGCAGCCCTTGCATTATGCTTTGTGGTTCTTATAAACCATTTACTTTCTCTCTGCTGAAGAGAAAGTAATATACTGTGGACACCAAAACCAGGTAGAGAAGCTATCCAATCTCATCTTACACATAAGATACAAGGAAATAGACTTCCAGAAGAGCCCCCACGAAGATCTACCTCCAAACACACAATCCAGTATCCAGCCCCACAGACCTCCTCTTACACCAGGAAATCGAAACATTGCCAGGCATTGCCCAGAGATGGTTCACAGGAACAAACTAATTAAATGAAATGAAGGCCTGGGTGACCAATGAACAGAGGAAAGCTATTCAAACGCCAAATTGTATTTACTTTCTGCTTGTTATTCTTATAAAGAAGATAAGACAGAGAGCTCACATGCATCCTTGGAGATCAGAGCTGGCTATTTTGAAAAAAGACATTGACATAATGAAATGGTTTGGTGGGCCACCACTAATGAGCTGGATTGCTTTGCCTAATCCTTAAAATGGATGCTTTTGGGGGTACTTTACAGTTGTCAAAACTATATGAATTTTCTTCCTGTTTTGCTCTATATATTAATTAGTGGTAAAGCAGTCACAGGCTATATGTCCTCTTTACCCATTCTGCACTGAGGTGAGCCCCAGACTGTTGGTGCCTTGGAAATGCAGCCATTCTCTTTAAAAAAAATTTTTTTGATCCCTCCTAAATGGCCCCTTAAAACTCTGCCAAACTAAGTTTAAAATCCACTTTCAGTATTACACAATTTCTCTATTTTTGAATCAGTGGCTGCGTGGCTGCTATTTTTGTCTTTTTAATTTCAAGCTAATGTCCCAAGCTTTCTTCCTCCTCCTCCTCCTCCTCCTCCTCCTCCTCCTCCTCCTCATCCTCCTCTTTCTCCTCCTCCTCTTCCTCTTCCTCTTCTTCTCTTTCTCCTCCTCCTTCTCCTTCTCTCACAGTGGGTTTGATCACTGAGGAACTTGGCCTCACAGAAGTTACCCAGCTTCCAAAGACCATGTTTTTCTCACTCAAGAGAAGCAGATAGTTTTTCTGGGCATTGTGTCCACTGCACAGAAAGTTCAAGTTGAGAGCAGTGACGGGCTGCCCTTCCTTCTTTGGCCATGCTCTCTCGAAGAATTATTTTGGAGCAGGTAATGTTTTAACCTACCCGGGAAGTCATGAATGCTTCTCAGCTTCCTTTCCCTTTAAAAATCTGTGAGCTTTTAAGAGTAGCAATAGAATTCCTGTCCCCATGCACGCAGTGGGCTGCCTGCATTTTGAAGGAAGCCCAGTAGCAGATCCGTTTCAGAGTAACAAATTCTTTTGTGACTAGAAAAAATTACCTATCAACTTATCTTGAGAGAGACAGAGACAGACAGAGAAATACAGACAGAGAAACATAAACAGAGAGAGAGAGTTTAGATATTTCTCTGAGGTCATGTGCTATGTGGCAAAGACACCAGGCTTTGAGCCGTGCCAGCTCCAGGCAGGTCCTGTCTACACAGGAAAGGTTGACAAGTCACACTCGCTGGTCCAAACCTCAGGCATCAGAGTCTGTGGGTCTGGATATGGAAGGAGGACTTATTTCCTGGCTGTCTCCAGGTGCATCTGACACGTGCAGCACGTGGGGGCATTTTAGGGAGCCCATTGTGGAGGAGGAGAAGAAAGCCTCTCAGACACAGCCCACTCTAAATCGCCCAGGATGCAGTTAAGTGCTGAACCAGACAGGAATCAAATGGGCTAGAAGTGAACACACCCCAGGCAGCTCAGTGAATTGTGGATGCATCACCAACCAGGCTAGTGCTCAGTCACAGACCTCTCCCCGAAGGCTGAATGTTCTGTTCACTTTTGGCCACATGGTCCATTTGGTACAGTCTAGAGAGAACTGAAAATACTAGGTAACTTGAAAGGTAAGCATCTGGTTATGCACATGTGCCCTGAAACAGAGAAAAGATGTGACCCCATAATTAACAGAAGGAGCACCAAGTTTCACTCCATGGTATCTGGTTTATTTGCTCAAACAAGTGTACCCTGTTTAAAATCTACCCATCAAAACACAATGTCCATTTCCAAAATTTATGTTTTATGCAGAACACTATGGAGAAAGAACTCCACCTTTTTCCTGCCTTTCTAAGTCCCTCCCTGCTGTTATTTTCCAGGGATGGAGTGTGGGTGCAGGAATCTTGACCCCAGTTTCTCTTGTAAAAATGAGTATTTCAACCAGGATGGGTCCTCCAATACTAAATAAATGAATATCTGTAAATCTCTTGATAGGTAGTATTCATGGCATTCACTTGAGTCAGCCATTATTACTAAGGCATGAATTGTATTTAACTTAAGAGCCTGCAACAGGTTTATTACACAACTAGTATTACCATTTTGCCTCTGGATTAGTTTTTTTTTTAGAACTACCACAGTAGTCTCATGAATGCAGAGAGGGGCTGGAACAAGATAAGGGTGTTCTCAGGGTGAGTTTCCCCTGAGGTCTTGCCTTGGCCTTCCCATGCTGTCTTCTCCCACAACTTCCCAGGGCCTTTCTGTGAATGGTGATGTCTTGATCTCTTCTTATATGGAAACCAGTCATACTGGATGTGGTCCCACCCAGTGGGACCTAGTTAAACCTAGCCAGTGACCTAGGCTACAGATCTTTTTAAAGGCTCTTCCCCAAATTCAATCACTTGGTGATATACTCAAGGTTAAAAAACTCATCATAGGGACTTTGGGTGGGCAAAATTAAGACCACAAAGGCTTCCACATCAGGAAAAACATGGCTTCCACTAGTATTTGGAAACAACAGCTACTCAAAGCTGAGCATCTGGGTATATTAACGAGTGATAGGAAAGCAGACACCATCTAGACCCTTTGTGCATTTTTCCCAAGGCAAGTCACCATGTTCTCTGACAGCTCCCCCCTCACTCTTGGTGGAAAGCAGACTCTCCTAGGCTATAGCTAAGTTAACAAAAAGGAATTTTATCTTAATATACTTGTGGGTTCAACCCAAGAAGCTTTGATGACAGAAGCTAGTTGGAATCTGCTTAAACTGGAGTCAGTGAGGAAATGGACAAACTATCTTAGTCCTTTGATGACTGGACCCAGCACTGAAATCTGTGATCTCTACCTCTTGAATAAGAGAAATCATACATTCCATACCCAGCCTCCCAAAGGGCTGACGGATGTGCCCTCTTCCCTGGGCATCTTCTCTCCGATACCTTGTGCATGGCAGCCTGGAAGTCTTCTTGTGGCACTGCTGTATCACCCCTGCAACTACGCAATAGGGGTATGGATGAACTAGTCTACTTCTACCTGAAGTCTTTAAAGATTTTATTTTAACACACAATAATAAGTTTACATTCACGACCCTTACCAGTGTTTCTTTGTTAAGTTCTTGTAGACTCTGATTTGGGGATCTAATAAATGTGTCAGCCAAAGGCACATCTTGAGCAGCATACAATTTCATCAGATATTGGTCACCACATAGCTTGAGCATAAAGCTTTTAAAGAAAATTAAAGTGAAAAAAAAATAAGATCTGGTATTGGTTATTAACTCTGCCTCAGGGTGACTTCTCTTCAGGGGCGATTAAATATCAGCTCTGGGCTGTTAAGTTTAGTGGCTTTACTGGTAGGTGGCACATTCTACTTCAAGGACAACCTCGACTCACATGGCTGTGATGTTCCACGGTGGTGCTGAGGCAGCCTCTGCAGAACCAGTTTGGTTTGAAATGGGAGATGTGACCATATCTCTGCGCTCTGACCTTTCTTCCTTAAGAAAAAAAAAAACAAAAAACTTTTGCATTACCAGGTAAATGCCCTTTCCATGGAATTTCCATGGAACGCTGGGGACATCCTGTGGTCAGTATGGCTAAAGGCAGCCGTTCTTAGCAAGGCTCTCGGGGAATAAAGAAGGCTCCCCCACCCCCCACCCCCCCCCACCCCCACCCCCACCCCCGCCACTTGAAAACCCCAGCTTCCTTTGTAAGACCAAAAAGGAAAAGAGAAAAAGAAATAATGAGAGAAAGAAAGGAAGGAAGAGAAAGAGAAAAATACCACTTTGTTGTGTCCACCATAGAAACATCACTTGTGTGATCAGTGAGATTCTTTTCAGTGAATGTGAGCAGAACAAGCCAACTGTTTTTGTTTAACGGAGATCAAATACAGCTTCATGGGCACCCAGGAGGGGGGACCACGATGTTGGGCGCCGCTCCTCAGCCCTACCTGCTTCTTACCATCTATTGTTGCAGGGTATCTGGACTTTGGCTCAACTTCTAGTCCTCACTGGAACCAGGCTTCTGTGAAAGAGCACCCAGGCTGGCTTAACGGGGAAACAGTGGGTATTTTGGCAGTTTTTGTACCACAGATAGTGCCCCAGTGGCACGAAATGGAAGCCATTTAGCTGTAAATGTGATATTGCACTTGACGGTTTCCCTTGGCAATGCTCTGAGCCGCCCACATTGAATAGAGGCAGAGAAATGGAACTTGGGGAGAAAGCCAGGCACCAGCGCGGCAGACCAAAGGGGCTCATAAACGCATTTGTCAGCCATTTACCGTCCTAACTCTGCTCAGCACACAGGCTACCAAGAGCAAGCAGCCCTACTTACAACACGGAGAGCCAGGCAGCAGAGTTGCTGCTGTTCTTCTGTTTATTAAAAACGGATGGGAGCACTTGACAGAAAAATCAAACTTCTGGTCATGGCTCATTAATCCCTGTTGTATCTGTCAAGGGGATGTGCTCCGAGTTCCAATAAGCCTCTAGAAGTGAGTTCACTTCTAAGCGTGGGCATTTTCTCTAATTTTGAATGGAGAAAGACATGCCAGTCACCTCCAAGGAGAGACAGACTTTGAACCTGTTTTTTTTTGTTTGTTTGTTTTGTTTTTTTAACCCACCTAGTGGGATTAAGTACAAGTAAGTTGGTTTAAGAGAAAAGTGGTGTGGTTAATCATTCTATGGCTGATATTTGTCACAATGCTCTTTAGGGGATGTAAAGCTGGGGAGCTGAGTTATGGCCTGCTAGTGCAGCTTCTGCAGGATGTTTTGTACAGCTCTCCGTGATGGTCCATGACTCCTGCAGACAGATCATGGAGGGGTACCCTTATAGATGGCTTGGATGTGTCTGCAGTTAGTCAGTCAAGTGTAGACCTGTACCAATTATTCTTTACCATCCTTAGCCAGTTATAGGGATAAGACCCCTCAATCCAGATGTTTAGAGCAACACAGAAAATGGGGCCAGCTTCTTCTAGGCCCTTCCTTCAGAACAATTACTATCTATAAGGAAACAGAGTTTTCGAAACCTTTGCTTTGGGCTTATGGTATATTTGCAGTCAATATTAGGGACAGGGGGAGAGATAGGTTTTCCTGCTCATTCAGGGGCTGTGAGGCTTCATGTTCCCGAGATTCCCAAAACAGCCCTTCCTTACTTGTGACAGTATGTATGGCACTTAGCACATTCCTTACAGGGGTGCATAAGGATTAAATGAAATAACGAATGTGTCCTGTCAGAAGCACACTCGAAGTTTCTTTGGCCATTGCTGTTAGTACCATCCCACACTACCATCCATCTTCCAGGAGAGATGTGTCTTCTGGAAATTGGCATCTTTCCCCCTACCGTGTTCCCAAGCTGCGTGCCGGGAGAGCTCTGGGAAGGGAAGGCATTTCCAGAAGCTTCCTGCATGGCCTGCTCACTGGTTGGATGATGATTGAACTCATCCTTCCGGACTCCATTCTGGTCCGGTTGCTATGACTGATACCGAGAAGTTTGAAAGGTTGGCTCTGCACTCAATAAGCATAAATATAAGCCATGTTAGTGCTTACGGGAAACCCTCTGTGCAGGCTAGATATCTGAAGTCAGGGGCTTCCAAGTTCAAATAGGTGAAATCCCCACAGGAAGCCTAAGGCCGAGAGCAACAACTCCAAGGGAAGCAGGGAATCGAACTGAGCACCTGCTACATATTTGGGTTCAGCCTCAGAGTTGCAGATTAGCTGGAGCCATGCCTTCCAGCACTTCCAGTAGAGGCCAGCACTTCTGTGAGCGGTCCTGGTTCTCGTTTAGAAACACACATGGTGGATCGTTTTTCCTTTCTGTACCTCTAAAGAATTGAAACCACATCTCCTAAGTATGGAGCACAGTTCAGATAGAAGCCAGAAACACACATGATCTTTTCTTCCTCTAAGACCTAAACTCCAATAAACGACCCCCCCCCCCAGGAAATCCTCGCTGAGAACCTGTGATGGTGAGAATGAACCTCGACACCAGATCTAGCAGGAGCTAGCTGGGAAGCCTGGCTTCTCCAGTGACGAATGTGCATGCTAGGTGTCGAGGAGTTTGGATGCCTAACTAACCCTAGGTAAAGCAACAGATTATAAGAGACTGCAGTGGCTTGAATTTCTGTTGAGTATATGCCTCACAGTTCACATGCTGGAGGTTGAGTGGCTAGTATGGCAGAATCACAGTGATAAATCTTTGAAGTGGAGCCTATAATGAGAGGCAGTTAGGACCCTCAGCACTACTGTTGGAAGGAGTAATGCTCATCCGAGGAGGGAGCTAGCTCTCTAGAAAGCAGGCTGTTATAAAGCAAGGTCACACGTGCACTTGGCTCTTTTCCCTTCTCTACCAGGTTCCGATGAAGCCAGGACATTCACCAGCAGCCAAATAGATAGAAGCACTGGACCTCAGACTTCTAGCTTTCAAAGGTGTAAGGTAAGTAAATCTCCTTTCTCAACAAATTACCCGGTGCCCTGGCACACTACTGTAATAACACAAATGCACATAAAACAGCCACCAAAACAAGGCAGAGCTCTCTTGAGGACAGTCAGGGGAGCTTTCTGGAGTAAGAGATTTCTTTTAACTGGACCTTGGAGGACTGTTAGTGTGATAGAGGAGCCCTACCACAGCACATTCTGAGTGGAGAGGTTAGCAGAGCCGGGCCCGGGGGTCAGCACATTATGGCATATGTACAGGAAGGAGTATTAGCCAACTTACAAAGAATCCTCTAGAAATCTCAGCTTGGGAAAGCCAAACAAAACATTCCAAGGAATGCTTTGCACGGGTACTCTCATCCTTCTAATCATGTCAAAAACCAGTTTATTCTACGTGAAGAGGTGCATCAAGATTTGGGAATCTAATTTACTCTGTGGATTTATTTATTTATTTATTTATTTATTTATTTATTTATTTATTTATTTTTATTTATATTAGAACTCAGCCCTGTTTATCCCTTCCTTTTGCACTGGGCCAGACCCCGTGAATCTGGGGACCATGGGCAGCAGCTCCGTAAAGGAGCATCGCAGCTGTGAGCCATATTTTCTATTTTTATTAGCATTTCTTATTTGCCCACAGCCTGATTTCTTTTGGGCTTGACATAATTTGCATGATTGAGTTAATCCAAGTGTGAAATGCAGTAGAGACCCGATTCAATGGGTGGCCAGAAAGCGGCATGATTAGGACATAAAAGAGATGGAGCAAGGCTCTGCCCCACAATGCCAGGTGCAGACACACCACAACGAGAGACCCAGACTGATCCGCAGGACTGGACAGTACTCTGAGAGTGAGATGACTGTACTCAGCACAGCAATGCATTTTTCAAGGGCCTTCTCCAAATATTTCCCAGGGTAGGCTTGATAGTTGAGATGAGCAAAGCGACGGCATCCAGGTGGTATCAAAATTCTACAGCCCAAATCCTATGGCACTCTTTACAAAAGAGATATTTTCACACATTGCATATCTAGGCCTGCATTATCTATTTACACAGATACCTTTTATCTTAAAAGGGATTTAGGCTCACGGAAAAGCAGCACAGAACATTCCCATTGCACTGTCTTCCACTTTCCCTAATGCTAACCTCATTCATCACAACCACACAAGTACCGAGACTGAGACATTAGAACGAACACAATACTACTGGATGAACTACTGAGCAGAGAAAGATTCTGAGCTACCCTAAATGGGATTACAAGGGCCAAGGGTGTTCGGTGATGAAAAAGAGATGAGGAAGATTAACAGCCAGGAGGAGCTGGGTGAGACACCTGTAATCCCAGTATGAGGCAGGAGGATTGTTAATTTGATTCCAGTTTAGGCTATATAGAGACCTTGTCTCAAAAACAAAATAAAACAAGACAAAACAAATACCACTGTATTAGTTATGAGGCAACAACAGCAACAGCAAACTTTCACATTCCCAAATGTTATAAAAAGCCTTGAACAAAATTGTATCATGAAGCTCTAGGTACCACCACACCCTCCTCACACCCAGTACAGAAACAAGTACCTTCATTATGTGTTGACTGCCTTTCCATCCCCAAACTTCCCATTATTGGGGTTGTTCCACCCTTCCAATCTGTAGTCACAGCTGTTTGACACAAGGCACTTACACTTTCCTCCCCCTAACTGTTGTTGGTTCTATTTTGTTTTGTTGTTTTTTTTTTTAAATAGAAACATTCTTCACTCTAAGCCCAATGGATCTTTGGTGGTCTGCTACCTGACCCAGCCCATCACTGTGGAAACTCAGCTCAGGGTATGTCCTTTTCTGATTAGCAAATGTAACAACTTAAGGCATCCAACTCAAGACTGATCTGATTGGGTGCTGGGGCGATAGATCAGTCGATGTTTGCCACGTGTGTTTGCATAGTGACCTGAGTTCAGACCTCAGAACCTGTGTACAATAGTTGGTCATGGTGGTGCTTGATTCTAATCCCAGCACTGGGATTAGACAGAAATAGGACAATCCCTAGCCTAGAATAATCAGTGACTTCCAGACCAGTAAGAGACC